GGGGGGGGGTTATATTTTTCTATTTTTCATTAATTTACTGCTTAGCAGATGGAAAGCATAGACCAATGTCTAAAAATGCTGCTGTCAAACGAGCAAATTGCAGAAATTAAACTATTTACTATATTAATATTAAATTAACTTGTGGATAAATCTGGGGCAAAACAAAGAAATATGACCACTTAAAAATACTGTAAGACAATTTCTGACAGAATTTATGTTAACAATTCTTAACAGAAGCACAATATTATTTTGTCTTTATTCTTTACAGAATACAAATTAAACTTCTACATAAGCTCAATTATACTCATTTCACAGCCAAATATTATTTCAATGTTTACAAAATGAAAAACTCTCAAATTTTGTTTCAATTATAGTTTTCTTTCTTGGAAAATACATAACAATTTTCCTATTATGTAATTATTTTAGTGTCAAAAGGCCATGCAACATATGAAAGCTATTTGCTACATACGTTTCTTAAATAGATAAATTTACAAAATACAATTTCAGTACAATTTTAAAATTTGAGATTGCATCTTTAAATTTTTAACTTTAATAACAAATATTCGCAAAACAAAGCAGCACACACTATTTACATTAAAATATCCGAGTTGACCATTAGGGAACATTACATACAGAAACCTGAGGCAAATTACACATAACATCAGGTAAAAATACTTATTACTATAATGGTGTGTGTTCATAATTACAGTAAATTTCATATTGCAAATAAGAAAATATGTATTTAAAAAATGGAGAAAAAGGAGACACAAAAAATGCCATATCTGAAAGTCTCCTATGCATCTTTCTCTCAGGTTCATTCTTTCATTCTGTTTAACATGAAACTATCAACCATATTAATAAACATTTCAAGGAGAGTTCTGTCTTCTGCGATACAACACTGTGCACTCTTGTAAAAGTCAAATGATGTTCTTTAGAAACGTCAGTTGACTTTCACCACAGAATTCTCCAAAGCCACCACTGTGAGAACCACATATTCAACATTACAGATTTAATCTGTATTGCTAAAAAAAAAGAATAAAAATAAAAAATTATAATAAAGGGAGGGGATAATAAACATGGCACAAATCTATGTACAGAATGCTGCATTTATGGAACCAAGCTATTTTAAGTAATATTTTAGGTCAGTAACATTAACAACTTTTGCACAATATGGATGGACAAAAATACTGCCCACTGTAAATTTGATCTATTCCTGTAATTCAGTAGATGAATGCTGTACTCAGCATCTGAGCTAATGCCTGCACTTTAACTTCTGTACAGATTCAGTTGTAACTACCTCTAAGTCTCATATGAAACATATCTTCTAAACAACATGCACTGTAACATATCATTCACTGCTACTTCCAGTCCAAGAATAAAGGATGGGACAGCACAAACACATTTTCATTCACTAGCATTTCACTTACAGCTCCTTATTTAAATTAATTAAATTATACAGAGTTTGTTTTAAAAAACAGTTCCAAGCAATGAGATCTCTTAGAGGGGAAAATTTTACACTGAAACTGGATGAAAAGAGAAAACCACACTATTTTTATGGCTAATGTCAGCAATATAAAATAAAAATTATAATCAACAACTGTAAAAGCCCTATTACTCCCATCCCTATAAAGAAAAAAAAAAGACTGCTCTACTGTCAAAAGCATCACATCTCGTGATTAACGTGATAAGTATAATAAATACACATGGCAGTGCGTTATGTCAGAGTACATATCAAATCTCACATTCACTCAATGCCTCGAGGCCCATCAATTGGCACTGTGTGGAGAACCTCATCCAGCAACTGCAGAGCACGATGCAAGTGTACCTACAAAAAGGAATGGGCATACATTTGAACGAAGCAGTTTCACATCAGTTACCTCAACAATAATGTCTTAACTTAAATCTTTCATCTGCACAATGTAATTAAATACTATAACGTGTATTGCTGGGCAATGGTGCAATACACATCTCATCGCATAAGTGCACTCAACAATAGGATGAATGTTTGTGGCTCATTGCTGTGCAGCAGTCAGGGAGCCAATGGACTGAAGACGTGGCTCTCATCGCATAAGTGCACTCAACAGTAGGATGAATGTTTGTGGCTCATTGCTGTGCAGCAGTCAGGGAGCCAATGGACTGAAGACGTGGCTATCACATGGCTGGCTTTCTGTGGGGTCCATGCTGTGACCATTGTTATGCAATCTTTTGGTAAACACATTTCAACAATAGAGGCTGTGTTTTCTGCATGGTTGGGGAGGAGACTACATAACGACAGTTACAAATATAACAGGTTTCAGTTTTCAAGTGCAGTTCTGTTGAAGTGAGTTCTCAGTAGGAGACAACCATAGGACATTCAGTTTTGAGTTCATCAGAGTGCAGTTGAGTTCCCGAGTGACTGAACAAGAAATGGCAAGAGGACTTCATAGTGTTTTGAAGTGCTAGTTTCAGTGTTGAGATCGGCTGCCGGGAGATGAATAGTGAAGACAGGTAATCCTAGTGTGCGTGCAATGGTGAAAACAAAAGTGTGTAAATCACCGTTAGCGCTGTATTTCCTGTATTTAAGTGTGATTAAGAGAGGCTGTAACCAAAGTGCCAATAAATCCAATCATCCGAACTAGAACCTGTGTCATGTGTACCACCCTACATGTGACAATATGCTGAATATATCACCCTCTCCTGATGTGTGTTAAATTCTTGCATTTCCATATATGCCAATAATGAATAAAAGATCATTACTACAATCAAACATTTTTTATAGTTATGATCTGAATACGTCAATCACCAGCACCTTGCTGAAGAACAGTGTGCATGGACTGTATCATCAGGCAAAAAACAAACAAGAAAGCTTCATCCCAACATAAACGGGGAGCATAGTTTCCACCTCTGCAAGTCATGGAAGCTCATGATTCATACACTGAAGGCACACTCATTGGATAAAGACAACACCTATCCTCATTTCTACTCTGAAACACTGGAAACATTTTCCACATCTAGATGGTATCAAAACCTAAACTCAAAAATGAGATAACAAACTGCTATGGGTGCATGCCAACTCATTACTAGAGGAGACCAAGAAAACATAATTCATATACTACTCACCTCGATCCAGCATGGAGTCTCTTTGATGGACTGTCTGGGGTAATCAGGTCCCCAGCCTTTCACAAAACTAAGCCTTATGATACACAACCTCCGCAAGTCATCCACACCAATACCTGCTGCTGCACTCAGACCTATAAAAGAATACACTGCTGCCACAAAATGTGCTGAATTCTAACTTGTTAAGGGAACTGTACATATCTTGTATATGTGTGTATATGACTTTTCTTCAGAACTATCTAAGTGAAAATAAGGGTATCATCTATATGACCTATGTGACAGAGGTCACTTTCAGACACAAAATGCTATAAACATATGAAATATGTCTTATATCAGTATGTTCGACTTTTTCTGATCGATACTCAGAAATAAAACTGTATGAACTGGAAGATATAATGTAAAACATTTAAAGAAAAATGTGAAGAAGCATACTGTATATGTGTATCAACCTTCATTTGATGTCACACTACTTTTTAAAATTAGGATTACTTTTCAGCACTATTTTTTTAATCCCTTGTCCTTGATTAGTTTTCATTGTTACATACTAACTGTGAATTCAAGGGCAACCAAAAGACAGCAAAATACTGTAGCATGTAGACCCACCGCTAAGTAATGACTGTAAACAACGGCCATTACTAGGTAATGGCTGCAACAGATCTGTAACGCACCAGTGGACTAACTGGTAAGCAGTGTTCTCTACATGGTCCATGTGACATCTATATGACGCAACAACAGAAGAGCTGTTGGGAGAACTGTTTTCTATGTGGTCTGCACCAAGGTATTATAAGCAGCACAAGTCTAGAATTTAGTTAGTTATGAGACAGTTGCTGGCCAGTAAGGATGTGAACACGGAAGCTGAGGAATCTATGGCATTGGAAGCTATTACCACGCAACAATCAGCGAAGACACAGCAAACTTAGACGACTCAGTGCATGCTGTAGCGAACTGTAGTGTGTCAATTAGGAAGAGCACTATAGTGATTTAGTTATGATCTGTAAGTGTTCACTAAATCCAATTATAAATCCAAACATTGTCTACAGTCACATTCAAACACGCGAAAATATAACTGAAGCCCATGTATGAAAAGACATGCTACTCCACTTACTGATGGCTGGGGCAATGCCACCAACTGAGTGTGGTCCTGGGATGTGACCAGCAACAGCGGCAGCCTGGGCTGCAGCTGCTGCTTGAGCTGTTTTTGCCTGCAGCTGCATTTGCAGATGACATTGCCCAAGATCAAATACCTACAGACAAGAACCCACAATAACACATTGGCTGTGAAATGAGAAGTTAGGATTAAATCTAAATCCTTATTTACTACTGCAAAGAGAACGGTTCTGGAATTCATGCACTGGATACCTACAGCACTTCCCTTGGTGCAGTATCAGCTGGAGTTTCCATTCATAGATACCAATCCATCTAAACAGATGGGCTGCTGCTTAGGCAGAGAAGTGGCTGACCTACCTGCCAACTGGTACACACATCTGGGGCTAAGGTGCTTTACTTCCATTTAAGTTGCATATTCTCTGAAGATTTCACTGCTGTTTCAATTTTATTGCACTTCTTTGTAACTGCAACTTGGGTCTGCACCTATCACTCTTTCATATATGTTATGTACTTTCATTACAAAATGGCATGCCATTGTTTCTTCTTTCAGCAAGATTTATTCTTTGTCTAATGCGTCATTCCAATATTTGTAACAGTCCTACTACATCTATGTTGATGACAAACAACAGTAAAAAAAAAACATATGCTGTTGATAGTAAATGAAGGATAAGACCCTTATCTTGAAGTTGTGACATCTATAAAATGACTTTCATCACATAACATTGCAAATTACAATTACCGAAGTCTTCAGGGCTGACATACTCAGAACAATATGCCTTCATATCATGTTACATTTTGATACTCAGTACATCAGTATTACCATTAACTTTGGGCTTTTTTGTATGATTCATTTTTTGGTGTGTCTGTTGCCAAAAGTTGAAACTCTGTGTCACTCAGCTTCACTACATCTGTCTGTCTGTGCACCTGTTCACATGTAACCCAAGAACCACCATAGATATTTTCATGATATTTAATACTGGGGAGTGTTAATACATCTGTTTAAACACTTAAATTCTGGTTAAAATTGGACACCAATATCAGACACTTTACTTGAAGACTTGCCTGCATTTCCATATGCATCTTAAATATCATTAGATAAATATTTATTGGAGTAAAATATTTTCCGAACAAAAGTTGCAGGAAAAACAAAATACATATTTTATGCCCACTGCACTTATTACAGCTTTTAAGATAATTAAATAAAACTGACTGAACATCCCAGACTTGTTAAGCTACACCTGTACTCCCCAACTTGTTGAGATATTTCTAAGTGGTTTGTATCATCCAAAGAATGAAAATCTGAACAATGTTTCCTATTTTCATAATTACTAATTATAACATGAAAATCTGAATACTCTAAAATTCCATCATACACTAAAATTTGTTCCCTATCTTGTCACTTGCCACTGTATTATACAGCTGGTTCATGTTCTTATTTCAAGTCTTCCAGCTAAATGGAACCAGTGCAACATATAAGTAAAAACAACTATTCTCATACACTGTTAATGCAGGTCCAAGGGGATCTGTAATACTATAAATGTCAAGAGGTTATTTCTGGCTTGTGTGGTAATCACAGAATATTTATAACCACTTGCCCGGGTGTGATACTGTACATTCATTCCTCTTCAAAAAATAGTACATCGTCACAGTTGTGCCCACTTTTTTTAGGTTCCCTCAAGATCTAGTAAACTGTGTTAATTCCTTAGCTGAAAGTCATGGCAGCCATTATAGCACAAAATCAACTGTGCTGTTGGAACAGCTTGACTGATCCAAAATTAAGTCTATCCGGCTCAGACAATGTCAGTGACAATTACATGGATTATGTGTTAACTGACACATTAGTGAATAAAGACGGTAATGAAGTGGCTACTTTCTAAGAGATTTTTTTCATCAAACTTCTGGAAGTATTTATTTTCCCTATCCAAGCTACATGGCCAGGCCATGGCTGAATTTTACTACCCCAAAGAATTAGCCAAAATAAAACAGCTGCAAAAATATGATGTATGATACCTACAACAAATTTTAAATTAAAAAAGAAATGGTAAAACCTAAAATTGTTACCTTGATATATGCACTCGGATAGATCTTGTGCACAGCATCTCCAGGAGCCCGTCCAGCTTCTCGATCCAGATAATAACTTTGTACGAAGACTGAATGGTCACTGAGACAGCGTAACCACACATCTCCTTCACCCCTGAGATCCAGCTGCACACCTTTACCAATGTGTAGCCTAGAAGTAATGACAACATACAGTTCTTGGCCAAATAGTCTGAAACTCTTATTTAAGATTTATTTGGGGAACAGTGGATTTGAATGCAAACCTGAAGAAAATTTTAAGCAATTTCAAACCAAGTCTATTGGCTTGAGAACACTGAAAATAGGCATTAAATAAGGCAAAACCTTAAATGAAGGAGGAGAAAAGCCAAGAGAAACAAGGGGAGAAAAATGTGAGCCATAACTTTCACCAATTCAGTCCATGAGGACAGAATAGCACACTGAAATATGATACACATTAATCTGAAAGAGCTTTCAGTTGGTGAGAAAGAGTAGAATTGTAGATAAGAATATCTTCTGAAATGTAGCAAATGTTAATTTACAAACAAGCAGGGTGTTCAAATTGAGGGAAACTAAAAAGAACTGTTTCTCTTTATTGGTCAAGTCAGCAGTAAGTTCACAGAGAGGAGGGGGGGGGGTAAGGAAATCTAAGATGACTGGTGAATAATGAACTGGATAAGATGTGAAAAGATGTGATTGTAACATAATTTAAAGTACCATTCTAGCATATGTGAGCAGACTGATGAAAAACAAAACAAACCTCAGTCAGGACAGCCAGCCTCTGACCTCACATTTGATTCTAGCAACTCCTGAATCCAAACCAGGACTAACCACATGACCATAATGTTTAATCATTTATTCTCTCACAGGCGATGTATATAGATTATTAAACCCAGACAGTGATTCAACAAACTGAAATGTTGATATAAAAATATGACCTAATGATTGGTTTTCTTTACAAGGAAACTTCTGTACAAAATGAAGTAACTTCACATATATATGAAGCCATAAGGACACAGGTTCCAGTCAAGCCTCCTCAACTTATAAAGATGATGCCATCCTGAAATCTATGAAGAATATGGAGTACAGCATAATGTAGCAAAATGGATTCATGCCATGCTTAGTAACTGGCAGACTGTGGCAGTCCAAAATGGGCTGTACGAGGTTCTATCAAACAGTTCCCGGACTAGGTCAAAAAAGAGATGCTGGCTTAACTTACTCAACTTTGGCTGCCATCTCCTTCAAAATAGTCTCCTTGGGAATGTATACAGTGATCCCATAATTTCCTCCTCACTTCAAAAGCACAGTCCAAATCATTTTCCTTAATGCTGTCGAGTACTGCTTGTGATTCCCTTCAGATGTCAGACACTGTTTCAAAACGCTTTCCTTTCAGTTTCATTTTCAATTTGGGAAACAAAGCAAAACCACAAGGGGCTAAGTCCAGTGAGTAGGGGGATGGGGAATGATGACCATGTTGTTGTTAGTCACAAACTCTGTGGTTTCCAGGGATGTGTGAGCGGGCATGTTGGTCATGATGAAGCCAGTTGTGGTTGTCCCATAGTTCCGGTCATTTTTGTTGCACATTTTCTCCCATGTCTCAAAACGTCACAGTACGAGAAAGTCACAGTTGACCGTAGTGTTAGGAGAAACAAATTCACAGTGAGCAATCCCCTTCATATTGGGGGGGGGGGACAATGAGCATGCTCTTTGTTGAACTGTGGACCTAATATGCCTTTTATGCTTTTGGCGACTGTGGACTCTTCCACTGTAACAATTATTGCTTTCTTCCTGGTTCATAACAGTAAATCCAACTTTCATCACCCGTTATGATTCTAGAGATAAAAGGTGGGTCCTTGTTAGCCTTTTCTCATAGCCCCAGACACACATTTATGTGCCGCTGCTTTTGATAATTTGTCAAGAGTCAGGGAACAAATTTCACACCAATGCGGCACAAGTTCAAATTTTCTGTTAAGAGCTCCCAGCAAACTCCACAACCGATCCCAACAGTGTCTGCAAGCTAATGGATTGCTTTGGTGATGGTCTTTGTAGATGATTTCAGGAATTTTTTCAACATTTTTTGACGTTTTGTTGGTGCTAGGTCATCCTGTAAGTTTGTCATCTTGAACTGACTCTCGACGAGCCTTCAAACGTGAATGCCGCTGCTCAGCTTAAAGAATGTTCTCCAAAAGCCTCACAAAGCATATGAAGGATTTTGGTAGCATTTACCAAGCTTCACACAAAACTTGATGCAGACATGTTGCTTGTTTTGCCATCTATTGCAGACAAAATGGAAAAAGAAGTCAAAAAAGCACCCATGTAAAAACACTGTATGTTCACAGCACAGTGTCACACGCTTAGGTCCAGTGGTTCACTGCAGTCTTACCACGATTTAATGACGCCTCATATTGACATTGAGCTCCAACCACCTAGTAACAGCACTTCCAAAGAGTGGCAATACTGCTGTCTGCCTCAAAACACCACTGATTGAGGGCCACATGTTGGCCAGGCATGATTCCAGCTACGTCACACACAAGCAGAGGAAAAGATCATTAAACCAAGGCTCCACTGTGGCAACAGTATCAGACTGACAGCTGAAGAAAATTTTAAGATGACTGCCATGTTGTTATTTCACATTTTACAAAAACTGCATATTTGTAGAAGTGCTATTACCACACAACATATGAGGACCATAATTTATTGGTGATCTATCTTACAAGTAAACCATGTTGTTAGCATTGATTGTGGGAAACTGAAAAGCAAGCAATGAAGTGGCTTCCAATGAAGAAGTGTTTATAAAAAGCTTCATGAAAATATGCCATCTGGTTCAAAAGCTGAGAGGGGGGACACACAAGACACACAGTATGGTTATCTTAGAAGTAAACTTTCTTTCTATAAGAAAGGAAAGTATACCAACAATGTTTAATACACACCTAGCCTTTTCACTCTGTTCTGTACGATGAACATTGCTAAGTGCTCCCAGACAGAACCGGTTACCTCCTGAGGGATCAACATAACCATCTACTGTCACATTAGGGCAGGCAGATGGCACCTTGAATGTTTCACCAACTTGCGTGTCTAATTCAAAGTATGCCACTGAGCACCAGTACTCTGGTGGAGGTTGTGTTGACAGCAAACCTGTCAAAGCAACATCTGAGCCAAGCTGTGCTGCATTGTGTCCCCCTGAAAAACCAATATAATGGACATCTGTTATTTCAACCTTCATAGGACTAAGAATAAATATTGTGGCCTATTTGTTCCATGCAAGAATGGATGAGCCACAGATGCAGCCATTTCTAAGTAACACACGCATGCAACAATGAAGTTATGCAACCTGCTTCTAGGCAACGGCTTGATAAACACACTTCTGTGCAGCTGCAATGATGTCACATCCCAACAGTGCTTAGCTATTACATGACTAATTACATGACTAGTGTTTTCTGTGGGGTCTGCGCTATGCAACAGTATAACTGTGTTTTCTGCATTGTCCATGCTGCAGCTATATAACACAAATCTGCTTGCAGCTAAGAAGAGTCCAGAAGAGTTTTCAGTTGAGTTCCGTGGTCCCAGGGTGACTGAACAAGAAATGGCAAGAAGACTTCACAGTGCTTTGAAGTGACAGTTTCTGTGTTGAGATCCATTGCTAGGACACGACTAGTGGAAACTGAAAATCCTCGTACGTGTGCAATGGTGAACTGCAGAGTGTGTAAATCAGTGACAGCACTGTAGTAAGTGCGATTAATGAACTTGTAATCGCAGTGTTAATAAATGAAATCATCTGATTTAAAACCAGTTATTTTTGTCATGCGTACCTCCCTACACATGACAATATTATGTCAGCCATGCCAACAGACAACAAGTATTACAAGGAAAGAAATATTCTTACATTCAACTGATCGTGAATAGAAATATTAAATTCATGCTGATTGTGAGAATTTGTACCATAAAAAATCATTTACTTATAATAAGGTTAAATATGGTACATTTTACTACAAGACAATGATCACTTACAATATCCTGGATGATGTGAACGAGGATCAGGAGGCTGCATGCTTTGGGTGTAGGTGAGAGTATTATTGCCAGTCCATGTTCCCTGAGCTCCACTAAATGGTTGCTGCTGCTGCTGTTGGTTTGGTGATGTACTACTAAGTGTACCTAAAAAGAACAAAACACATTACTTCACACTATATGCAGTCATGTGAACTACTAACTGAATTTTTACTTAAGAGCTAATAAAAGCATGAGAAGTCTAAATAAAATTAGTAAATTTAAAAACATTCCTGTGAATGGACATATAGTAATGGCTAGATCCTGCTGTTGTCATTGCCGTCACTGTCATCATCATTCTCCTCCTCACAGGATAGGTCAGTGGCCTTATCCAACTCATATATACTGGGACGGCCATCTATTCCTTGGTCTGCCCAAGTATCTCCTTCCTCTAGGACACTAACTGAGAACTGTCTTTGGTGTTCTTATTTCCTCCATACGTTCTAGATGTCTTCATTTACTCCTGTAATCTTGTATCCTATTATGTTCAGAACTAATTTCCAGGCCTAATCTTACAGATGAATTTGTAAGATGGTGTTCTAAGGCATATCCTTTAACCGTTTACAAGAAATTCATTTCTGTTGACTGTAGCTGTTGCGAGTCTTTTGCTGCTCAGCTCTTGCATCCATAAATCACAACAGGAATGGCCATAATTTTTCTTTTAAATTCGCTTAGTGGGGGGTGGAGTCAAACTGGGTCCACTTGGCACAGCAGCCACTGATTGGCCTATTGTAGCCTGCCCTGGGTGATTATGATGATGGAGAATTTGGTGGAATGAAGATTGGCAGGGGAAACCGAAGTACCCGGAGAAAACCCGCCCCAGAGCCACTTTGTCCACCACAAATCCAACTTGACCAGACCCAGGATCGAACCCGGGCCGCTGCGGTGGGAAGTCAGTGACTAACTGCTTGAGCTACGGATGGAATGGCCATAACTTTATATAATTGTAATAGAACCTCTCTTCAAACTTTCTCATCCACTGTTCTTAAAACTGTTTCAATTTCTTTCATTTAAAACACTAAACCACCAGCATTCAACAGGCTCAGTACTGTAGAAAAGACAGCCAACAAGCAGAGGCACGCAGTTCAACATACAGTCTTGCCAACAATAACCTGTTTGTGTTAATTCCTCCACACTTAATAATGTGAAGTTTATCACACCTCACTAAGCTTTGCCATGTATGTGGCACCACTGCACTGGTTGTTGCTTATTCTCAGGTGTGTGATGAGATACCCAAGTTTCATCGGCCATCACAATACAGTCCAGAAAGTCATCACCTTGATCCCTGAAATGCACGAGGAATGCCTGCGCTGCAGCCACTTGAGTTTTCTTGAGATTGTCTGTCAACATTTTTGGCACTCAATGCATGAACAATTTCCAATAACCTAATATTCTGTAACAAATTCATGGAGAACATGTCTTGACATTTCTGGACATTGTTGATTAAGTTCATCGATGGTGAAACATCTGTCAGCACAAATGTTTTCATCAATTTTTTGGATGATTTCATCAGTGACAATGGATGGCCTTCCACTCCCTATTTCATCATGAACATCACTTCTTTCCGTTTCAAATTCACGACATCATTTTGCCACGTTTTGCCTGTTCTTAACGTCCTCAATGTAAACAGAAACAAGCTGGTGATGAATTTCAGCAGCAGTTTCTCCTTTCGCATGAATAAATCAAATTACTGCACGAGCCTCACATTTGGCAGGATTTTTAATCAACATGCCATTTTAAACACACACTGCGAGCACAACGTTGCCATGACTGCGGCCAGTAAACTCTTCCCTATCATACAGTTCATATCTCACATTTTTGCAAAAAAATCCCTTGCATTTTCACTGGATTTGTACCTTTACTTTCTGAATATCCCTTGTACATACATATCACTCACTCATCTACAGATTACAATTATGAAGACAATTCTCACTGATTTTTGTTAGCAGAGCAAGAAAAGCACACAGGTTCAGACAGAAAGCACCAACTACTTAAAAACCAGTTTTTACTAAAACACAGTGTACCAGAGTTGGTGAAGCCATTCTGCTGCAGATGTGGTGAGACTGGTGCAGTCGTAGGACTCTGCTGCTGACTGCCACTGAGTGATGCAGCAAGCACAGCTTGTGTGTCGCCACTAGACGACAAACTGTCTGTCCCAAAGAAGGAGCCCGGTCCAGCAGTACCCAAGGTTTGAGTGGGAGATACCAACGCACCTGGTGCAACCACAGACTGTGAAGGGGTCACAGAGGTCTGCTGGGAAGTCAGTGCATTTGGTGTTCCACTTGTAGGAGATACAACTGAATGCACCAAACCATGACCAGAAGCACCAGCAGCTCCAGAAGCTGAAGAAACAGATATTACTTGTAACCACTGTTTCAATGTACATTAAGAAATCCTTTAAAAATGCAGAACATAAAATTATATTACAGTAAAATACAACACAACACAACCACTATGATTTGCATAAATTTTAGAAACTGTAAACTATAAAGACTTAGAAAATATAACCCTGTCTTAAAATAAAAAGGTGTAAAAATGCGAAGTGCACCACAAATTGTCATCAGTTTTGATGAGACATGTAGGTTAGTTCAAGATGGCAGTCAGCTGTTCATATTTATGTAAACTTTTGTCTCAGATATATCTTTGCAACCCTCTGCCATACAACACACAAAAATGATAACCATGAACAGTACACACTAAATGGTTCAATCATTAAATGATAACCATTTTTACAAACAATGACTCTTTTCCCAGTCTTTAATTCAACGTACAACTTTTAATTTAGATTTTAAAGGGTTTTATCACAATTTTTATTGTATATTTTCTTGTTATCTCCCACCAAATTAGCCTGGTCTCAGGTGATTATATAACTGTGTAAATCTGACAGGAGTTGTCCAGTCATTGAGATTAACTCTTTTTAAGAGGTGCAACTGAGTAGGGGTCTTCCCACCTTGCCTGAGGATGGAAACAGATCTGGTTTCCAAAACACTGTGTTTTCTATTTTCTAGTCCAAAAACTCACTAACTTTGTGAACTTTTAATTTATTTTGCACATTACATCCTACATGGTTCAAAATAAAATATAATCTAACACAGTAACTTATAACAATCTATATATACTACCTGAAAGGATGTACTGATGCATGGAGACATACACATGCACACAAGAGATAGAAACCACAAGCTCACTTTCTTTAAACAATACAGTCATCAGTTAAAAATTAACAAGAAAAAAGCTCTCTTTAGCTACTAAGTTAAGGACTAACAGAGGAAAAACTATCTTTAATTTGTGCATGTAAGGAATCATTAGTGCAGATTTTCAAAACAGTTACAAAATGCACTTCAAATGGCACAAGGATTGTACTACTAAACAAAACGTTCCTTAACCACTTCTGTTCTATGATACTGTGACATGTTGACCCCCACCTCCCCAGCGGTACGTGGCGGTAACGTAACGCTCGCGTTCTTACGGTAATAGGCGAGTTCCCGCCCCGCCACTCCCCTCCGCGGTGACGTCACCGAGGGATATCGCGGTCGCTAGGCAACGCGAGTCAACAGCGGCGACGTTACGATAGTAACAGCGGTTACTTCCGCTAGCGTTACATAGCAACACAGCGCCAGGCAAAAAGGGTGCCTATTACGTGGCCGTTTTCCCGTACTGTCCGATCGAGGCTACATACGGAGCAGCGAAGGCTATTCACAGTCAGTTCTAATGTGGCTACCAGCGAGTTCTACTGTAGCAGCCGCCTAATACAGTTGTACGGTGACAGCCGCCGAGTTATAAAGTAACTGTCAACGTGTAGACTACTGAAGACAGAGTGAACTGATTTGCGCATAGGGTTATAAGTCGTGAAACCCCGCAACAGTGTCAACAGATTAATGCGATTAGGGTTATAAAGTGTGAAACCCCGCAACTGTGAGATAATTAATTGTAGCCGTTATTTGTAGATTGTTAAATAAACCCAATTAACCATCTCTACGGCGTCTTCGGTAACGTTAAACACGTTACAATACATTACACACAGTCAATGGTTATACTAGGGGTTTATGGGAAGGTTGCCTTAAAGACCAACAGACCGAGAAGAAAGTTTCTTTGCGGGGGAAGGGAGATACATTTTTTATTCAAAGTAATTTGAAAGGAAAGAACAATGAACTACAGTGATTATGAAGGCAGTGTTTTGTGTGTAAATCAGACAGCTGACTTACGCAGAACAAGATGGCACGGAAAATGGCCCTACAGTATGAGATCTGTGCCACATAATGGACAGTAAGATCTCGCTTAGAATAACAAGAAGATAGCCTGATTCTTCATACACTACACATTTTTGTGTTATGCACTGTCAGGCAATGATAATACATTTTTCTTTAGTAACGAAATGTAAATCTTCACACATCACCATAATCCTGCCACACCTTAGTAATGTGCTATCCTTCAAGTTTAACCTTCAGAAATAGACTTCAGTGTCTTTTTATAGAAAGAATCCCTGAAATTTTAAAATACAAGATTATCATTTTCAGGGGTGGGAAAAGCTTACAATGTGACAGCCTGGTGGGCACCCATGTGGAACGTGGGCAGGTGTCTGGTGGTGGTGGCGGCTCCATCTTGGTGGTCCGCCCAGCCCCGGGAGCTCCGAACAGAGCAACTGAGTCACCTGCTAAGATAAGTGATAGTATGTGTGCTACTAACTCAACTAAACCAAAACAAAGCCCATAAAAACTCAACAATAGCAAACTAAAAGTGACAAAATACTAGATGTTATTGCATACCAGTAACTGAAAATTGTACATGCAAATAACTAACTCGACTGCTATTACAAAAGGCACGACACACTTTTATGAATGCTGCAGCCTTTAATATCCAGCATAGTCAGTTAAATCTCTTAATATGAAGATCTGAAATTCTGAAAGTGAGGAAGACTAACAGAACACATTAGCAGGATTGAACAACACACTAATCACTTTCCTCAATAAGGAAACAGGCCAAAGCAGGGCTGAAGAATATGTTTAGTAAATTTGCTGTAGTACACAATTATTTTGCATTATCTGCAGAAAAAGCATACAGCAAATTCATACAGGGGAGAAGACTGTGTTTACCTGCATGCTATATGTCTTAATCTTGTCTTCATTTCAAACATTTTCATGTCCAAACAAGCTAACTAGATCCCTACCGCCATCAAGTCAACTGAACTTGCAGGACAGGATAATAAGTTGAAATGCACAACAGAGTACAAACAACAGAAAGCAAATTATACAGTATGGCACATTCAGATGTGAGTTCTTCTCAACAATTTTGTTCTAACTGTATGATGACCTGTATTTTAGACACTGAACATAAAGAATGATTTTTGTTTTCAACTATGGAGACAAGATGTGTTGAAAAAGCTCCCAAAATCTGTCTATACGAGTAAATCAACAGTGCACTGGTCACGTTAGGTGCTGAGTGACCCTGAAACCTGACCATTAGTTACGCAAGTCATTCCGTTCCAAGTAGATCAGACATTCCTATTAGTTTTTATAACCACTTTTGTGATTAAGTGTTGTCTTGTCGCGTTTAGCATGAGCTGGTAAAGGAGCAAAGAATTTGTGTTAAATTCTCTTTCAAAGTAAGGAGAACAGCTGCAGAAACTCACAACATGTTGCATGAAGTTTATGTCAATGATTCTCTGAGTCAAACAATGACCTACAAATGGTTCAAACATTTTAAAGATGGAAGAACTACAACAGATGATGAGTGGTCTGGCTAGCCATCAACTTCAAGATCCAAACCTCTGACTGCACAGGTAAAAAACACTATAAGTGAAAATCGCCAACTGACTGTCCAAGAAGTTGTAGATGAGGCTGGAATATCCATGGGCTCATGCTACACACTTTTAGGATTTAGGAATAGATAGATTTAGGAATATACTGGGTCTCAGCAAAATTTGTACCAAGACTCTTGACCAATGATCAGAAACTGCAATGACTTTCCATCTGTGAAAATCTCCTCCAAACAGCAAATATGACAAAAATCTTTTGAAAAATGTCATTACCAGTGACAAGACATGGGTTTACAGTTATGATGTTGAAACAAAACAAAACAAAACGAAACAACAATCCTCACAATTGAAGAGTCTTGCTTCACCTCGCCCCAAGAAAGCTTGACAAGTGTGCTCATGAGTGAAGGCGATGTTGCTTGCTCTTTTTTTTTAATCATTAAGGCATTGTGCGTTATGAATTCACTCCCAAAGGTCAGAAAATTAATCAAGATTTTTACCTGGTGGTTCTGAGATGTCTGCAGGATGTGGTAAAAAGAAAGTGGCCTGAAATGTGAACTGTAGGAAGCTGGCTCCTCAGTCATGACAATGCGCCTGCTCACAGCATTGTCAATTAGACCATTCTTGACAAAATGTTTGATTCCTACCCTTCCACAAACCCCCCTTTTCACCTGACCTTTCCCCTCCTGGCTTCTTTCTATTCCCTACACAGAAAATTACCCTTACAGTAAGATTTCAGACAATGGAAGACATCACTAATGTGATGATCTAAAGGTAATACCATAAACATCCTTCAAAGAGTGCTTCCTAAAGTGGAAAAGACCAAGGGAGAGGTGCATTGTTCCACAAGGAGACTACTCTGAAGGGGGAAATGTTCCAGAAGTTCTAAGTAGAGAAAGATATTATTTATTGACAAACTTCATGAACTTTCTGAACATACTTCATACATTACACATTGCTGCTGCTGTTAGTGTATAACCACCACCACCACCATTATTATTATTATTATTATTATTATTATTGTTATTATTATCATCATCACCAATCATCATTTGACTTTGTAATTTGCTATTGGACTATCAAGATATCATATATGTAAATAAAGAACTGAATCACCACCACCACACCACCATTTTTTGTCTTTTGTCTCTGAGTATGTGTTTTGTTTCTTTTTACTCGTTCTTACTTTGTAGAATGTGCTTCTTTGCATTGTATAACTAAAGTTAAGTTTTTTGTGCCCTGCAAAATCTCAAACTTATATTTGATCAGATGGTATTTTCTGTTTTCTGCTCTATAAAATCTGATATGATAATGTATGTTAACATTTACAATGGGTAGTTCGGCAATGTATTCAGTCCTGATATGGAGTACTAGGATTATAAGAAACAGATTTAACCAAAAAATTACTGAACATTAATGGCTGCAAATCAACTCCCAACTCAAAATGGCCTTTCAGAGCTGAAAAATACTTATTTTAGCAGACTGGGTGCAACAAAAACTATACACACAGTGAGATAATCCACTACTCTAGTGCAAAATTTACCCCAACCCAAACTGCACAAACTTGTTTTTACCTGTCTGCTGCTGTTGGAGGCCAAGAGAGAACTGGGGTGGTGGAGGATGGTGCTGTATTGTTTGTGGTACAGCATGACTCACTCCTACATCTCCATCCACTTCCATGCCACTACCTCCCACCACACCAGCAGAATATTCATCTTTCACCAGTCGACTTGGTCCAGATTGTAGGGATAATCCAGACAGATCTACGAATACAAATCAAACAAAACTGCCAAACTGGCCTTGTAAATCAAAAAGGATCAAAATTTTAAAACTTCCTGGAAAAGAAAATCTTATCATTAATCCCTAAAATGAGAAACTTCTAATACTGGAATGTCTTGTTATTAAAAGTCTGAGTAACTGAAATGTTTTCACAACTCAAATTCATGAATGCCACAGGAATTCATAGTCCAAATTGTTCTCTGTGAACCAAAATTGAAACTGAACTTTTACAAAATCTTCACTACCAATTTAATCACAATTCGCTAAGCCACAGAAGTGATGTTACATAACCGCAGACAGACCACCAAACATCAAAAGTTAATAGACAGGTAATTCATTTCAAGCCTTTTCATATGAGGAAGACCCTGTACTATGATTTGCATCAATACAGTGCTTAAACATATCACTAAAAATGCAACAAATGTTATACAATTGTGATCAATAATATTACAATTGGTTTAATTTAAAAAAATGTAAAGGTCTACTGGGGTTCACTGCAACAACATTTATCTGTGCATTGCTGTACATTATGCAGTTTGCATCATACTTCATTTCATAATTTATTTACTCTTATTAGCATACTTTTATTATTTTGAAAAAAAAAAAAATTAAATGAGGCTTATAAGATCATAAGATCACCTGGGGGGTTGTGTGTGTGTGTGTGTGTGTGTGTGTGCACGCGCACGCATGAACATATGTCCATAATTTTTTCGTTTTCTATGCGACATTTCAAAGCAGTGAAGATGATTAGGATTAGTTAATAATGAATTGGAAAGGATGTAGAGGGATGGGACCAGAGACTATTTCTGCCTTTATGCTTGCTTCTTTTGTTACTTGGCTTACACTTGCAGCAGCATGTTCCTCTGAAATGTTGGTAACCTTGTACCAGACTCCATGGCATGACATCCTAGAAGATGGTATATTTCACAGACACTGCTGTGAGAACCTCATATCTCACATCTATCCTTGTTCAAAACCATAGGTTGGTTTATATATAAAATGGTCACACTATTTTACTTTCTTACATTCAATTTTTACCAAAACTTATCATCACAATTTATTCCACATACACGCAATTTTTTTCCATTTCAGTGTGAATGTCAGTCCAAAATGAAAATGCTGTAGAATTTAAAAGTCCCGAATAAAAAATCCAACCATCACACTTGATTTACCCAATTAAAACTCGTTTTGATAAAGATTAACATATCAAGAAAAAGAATTTTCAGTTAATGGTCAAGCTGTTTTTTTTAACATTTATCGCAACTTGTGATTTTAAAAACATAAAAATCTGGGCTTTATAGAAAATCTAATCAAGCAACTTCGACAAATTCAAATTAGTTCTGGACATTATCAAAGAAGCAAAGGCATGAAATTCGAGCTTCTAACAGTACCTAAAAAACAAAATAACATATCATATAAGGAAAGATTCCTGTATCAACAGCTCTATAAGAAAACTGATGAAAGGATTTATAACCCCTTCACAACGTCTTACTACAGCATTTTAATTATATTAGCACCTTTCACGTAACTAAACAGCTGGTGCTATAATTACTTATACAAAAGACATTAACAATGGAAATACTAGGTGCAGTAGTAGTACACAGTATTTCTCTCAAATCTATACACTTATTAAAAGCTCAGGGAAAGAGGCATAACATTTCAAAATTATTCTTTTGATATACAGTATCTCTGAATCGACACTTTCTAATGCACTCCATCCTTCCTCTAAACTGACATGAAGTCTTCCCATAGAAGTTCTTCAAAGAACGACATTTTCTTTACATATGAAGTTTGTAATTAATTTTGTTCTGAATTCCCTTACAATGCAATGATTCAAGCTCTCACAGCTGAAGTGTTAACAAAGTCTTCTCTATTCAAATTGAACACATACAAAGCTCTGACAAAAAATGGGAAAACTGGAGCTGGAAATTTGATAACAACATAAATCTTAAAAAGGCAATAGTCAGAAAGCTTAGAGACACAGAGAGCAGCATTGGACACACCTATTCCTGGTGATACCACACGTTCATAATGGTATGGGTTTACACATACGGAATCACACTTCAGGTCGAATGCAAACTGGCAATACTTCACATGCTTCAACTCGTTCTTGTGTAAATCTGGCCACCGCCAAATTCTTGCATAGATGACATGTGGAAACCCCTTGCGTCCTGCCACCTGCAAGCCACAATATTTTATAAATGTTTTCCTCGGTGAAACCTGATGATAATTCAGACATCATTTTTAATAAACATTTTTTGTTAAAAAATCAATATAAACCAGTCAGTACAGAATAACCTTATTAATGAACTATTTAAATCTATTACTGCCAGTTTTTGCGATTTTTTCATCTCAGTGATTTTTATCTTGAAGGGGAAAGATGATAAAAAGCTGAAATTTTCAGCTGTTAGTAGGCGATTTTGTAAAAATGTTTCCCAGCTGTACTACTTCCCCTTCACTATTTCCTCTCCCTTCGAAACATTACCTTGCAACACCGGGAAGGGTTTAAAATGTATGTGAAATATCACAAAGTGGGCTATCACATTGCTCATTGCAGTCACACCAATACAACTGCTACAGATCTATCATACTTCATGTAGAAGACAATACTTCATGGGTGTTTCACGATAATCATTTAAAGATTATCAAAAATGTCTGACTTTCAAATTATAGAGTTCTAAGGAACTGAGAACGTGAGTTATGATAACAAATGTGAGTTCTTTAAACAGATTAAAATCAGTCTACATTTTGATAGGCAAACTGGTGAATCCACTAATCTTGTGGGTTTTCTGCTTTGCTTGCATTTGTGAAATAAACGCATATCAGGTGAAGAGCAAATGCTTTTGTAGAAACCTTGCCTATTCATAATACAAGGGAAGGTATATTCAATCTAGCTGATCTGTACACAGTTGAAAATGGCTAAGGATGAAAACAATGTACTGATATCTACATAGATGATGCATGACTGATGACTGGAAAAACATTTTGCTTCATTACATCAGTTTAAGTCAATGCACTAGTGTCTACAGTCAATCACTGTAAAGCCTCTGTTATGGGAAAGCTTGCAAATGCTCTACGAGTATCAATTACATAATGCTACTGCTGATCATGCAGGCTAAATGTTTATATTGAAGCAGAGTTCTGGGTTGTCTATTCAGGCTGTGATCTAAGTTCTGTCATTTTGTGCTATTTGTTTGAGCTTCTCATGCCAGTGTGATGCTGTGTCATTCCAGGGGTCAGCATACCTAACAGCCATTCTTACAAAGATAAATGAATTAAATTTATCATTCCAAGATATGACTATCACAGTTATCTTGACATACTAAAAAAGTGAATCCTTCTGATAAAAGACAGACTTTTGGAGGACATGCTGAAAAATGTCACAGACTTCTTAATATACCTGAGGCCCAGATAAGTGATGATGTTCTTTCAGACACACTGGAACATTTATGAGAGCTAGAAGTTATAGTGAAAGAGTATTGTGACATGACAAGCTTTGGTAACAGGTTTTCAGTGGCTACAGAACCCATTTCCATTCCCACTCACAGTGCCAAGATTATTATAAAAAAAACAATGGCACTTAAACAGAGGAGAGTGGCCTCTGTAGTCTAGAGGTAACGTTCCCACCTCATGACTCGTGGTACGCAGGTTCAAACCCGGCGGAGGTCCTGGAATTTTTAAGGGCAGAAAAATTCAGGGAACAAGTCCTCCAGGAGGGACTTTAAGCCGTGTCGTAGCTTTACAGCATGTAAAAAAAACTCGTATCTCCAAAGGAGGTCACTGAGCCAAATTTAAGGACGTTTCCCGCCCAACAGTAGTCTCTAACGCCTCTGATAGATGGGGGAAGCATTATAGATACTGCCAAGCCAGTAGAGGCCGAACTCGCTGGCTTGGTCGGGACTGATGGCATGCACCAATATCGGTAGGGTATAGAGACTGGTAGAATATCATAGAGGGAAGCACAATGGACCAATACTGGTCTAAGTGCATGGGGAAACCCACCCTCTCCAATAACTAACTAACTAAACAGAGGAGGGTTTGAAAGGTAGATACACATATGTTCCATTCATCTGTTCACTTTCTGGTTGATATGAAGAAGTTTCCATAAATTTAAAGTGCTGCTGTGACAGGGTTACTTTCACATCCACATATATATAAGCAACAAAGCTGAAAGAAGTCCACAAATTGGCTATGGTTTTACAGACAGTGTCATGGCTCATAAGACATGTTCATAAAAGACATATGAAATCTAGAAACTCGTTTATAAATCAATAACAAATTATATTCATTACTACTAATTCTTGCAACCATTCACATTAATTTTGGTTACAATAATCGCAACTGCATTCGCAGTGAAATTAAGAAAACATTAAATTCAGAGAGAATGACTGTTACCATTCAATTCATTCACTTTAGGGGCCTAAGCACAGATGGCAGAATAACAAGAAAACTGTGTGAGGGTATAAAATAGATTCATCTTGTCCAGGTCAGAGACCAGTGGCAGGTGCTTGCAAATACAGTAATGAAAATCTGGGTACCATAAAAGATTGGAATTTCTTGAGTACCTGGACTTTTTTTTTTAACTCTGCTCCTTAGTGTCAGTTATGTGGTTTGCCACATGACAGTAATTAAAAATTTTACAAAAATACATGTGTTTCAGTAACATGATTACTATCATGATACCCTTTTACCTAACATTTCATTGCTGTCTGCACAATTTTATACATTTACAATAATATAACAGCATGTTCTAAGATGAAAATTCCATCACCAGGCTCCTCGTTTCTTGTATACAATGCTTATAACAACATCTGACATTATTTCTAGTTCCCCAGTGGATCAACAAAAATTATGGAAATCCATTTTTGTATGTTCCACTGGTTCAGATTATTATTATTATGTTAAGTGAGCTATACCCTGCCAGTTTCTCACTGTTGCCGGGGTTTGTAATCTTTACCATGTACTTCCACGAAAGCAAAGATGAATCATAAACTTCACAAAACTTAGAGCTGTTTTACAATTAAAAGAGATCTTAAAAAGTAACATATGCTCAACAGAGATCAAGTCAGATAAACCTGCTATAATCTGAGGAAGCGACAGTTTGGCTGTTAAGTATTCAGGAGCAAGGGGCAAGAAAATGAGAGAAGCTACTATAAACAGGGAAGAACACAGCAACCATATTGCTGCACACTCTTTCTCTAGTCCCTGAAATAGAAACATCATTTAATTATATGCATAACCCATCTTCCTCTCAGTTTCTCTATGGTTAACACACTGCATTCTATGCAAGCAGCACTATCACATAAGCCTGGAATACAGAAGACTTTCCAGGCATCATATTGCTAAGCAATGTTAACAGCACTGTGGCTAAGAGCAGTTACTATGTAGCAGGTATGGTGATGGAAGAGAAGGGAAGGTGCAATACCTGTTTCTTTTATTGCTAGTGGGGTGCGACTAAGTCTCTTGTACTGCAGCCACTTTTGGCCTATTGTACCAGCCCCGGATGACAGGTAAGGGTGATTGTGGAGCAATAGGTGGATTGGCAGGGGAAACCAAAGTACTCGGAGAAAACCTGCCACAGCGCCATTTTGTCCACCACAAATCCCACTTGACCAGACCTGGGATTGAACCCGGGCTGCCACGGTGGGAAGCCAGTGACTAACTGCTTGAGCTATGGTGTGGCCCTCAAATAACTGGTTACTTTTTGTGTTATGTATCATTGTAGATTAGTGTTACAATTCAAGTTAATATGACTTTATTACAACACTATATAAATTTTGTACTCCACACAGTAGTTACAGTTTCAAAACAAGAAGTTCTGGGAACTAGTTATGATATCTATGTTTCTTCAAATGTTTCAATATATGAATTGAGGTAAACAAAAGTGTAATTACACAATTCAGTGATAAATTTCTGTACACAACTTCCACTAATACTGATTCTGGCTGTTATATTTGTCTCACACAGTAATTTCAAAGCTTCAAGCTGCTGTACTTGTAACTGTTAAAATATAAAAAAATATGTTTCACACACAATTTTTGGTAACCTTTGAGACCTGTCTGCATACTAAATTCCACATTCATAGCTTAAATCGGTCATTAGTGGATATCAGCAAAACATAAATTCTGTATAATGGCATGGAATGGGGAAGGAGTAAAGGAGAAACAGTTGCATATTTTCAAAGATACCTTCCCCACCAAATTTAAGTATTCTGTACTAAAAGGCACTACTACTGTTCCTTCCTCAAGTTCACAGACATCACATTCACATTACTGATGATGGGAAATTAAAAAATGCAAAGACAGGGTGCTGTGATGTCTAGCGGCATCAAGTTCATTTAAAATTAATCAACCGATTCAATAGTTATTAGGGACAAATGAACACATGGACATGACTCCATAATAAAGACTAATAATAACTGTCACTATGACATTTTACATTATCATGTTTGTAACTGAAAAGACACAATAAATCATACAAAGTTTAAAAGTGTGTTTATAATCAATTTGCACAAAAAGTTTCACATGCCTAGCTCTAACGGTTTTATTGGTCACTGTCATCAAACTGAAAGCAAAATTCAGCTTCATATGACCATCACATATTTGTCTTACAATTTACAAAAACTTCAGTGGCTGCCTCTGTGGTCTAGTGGTCAGAGTTCCTGGCTACAGATCCAAAGGTTCCAGGTTCGATTCCCGGCGCTACCAGATTTTCCAAGTAGTGGGTCTGGAACAGGTTCCACTCAGCCTTGTGAGGATAACTGAGGAGCTACTTGAATGGGAAAGTAGCGGCTCCGGTCTAGAAAACCGAAATGGCCGTGGGGATTCATTACACTGACCACACAACACCCTCTATCTGCTAAAGTTGGCACTAACTTCATTGGCAAGCTGCAGTTGCTTGGTCGGTATAGTTTGCCTGTAGACTAAAGCCATGGAGTGTCTTTTCTATCAGTGCCATTTTCTTGGATGTGACACAACGTAGTCTATCAGAAATTTACTAATGTTTAGGAGGACCATATAGCTTCTCTCTTCAGGAGAAGAGTAAGCCAAGCAAGACAAAGCAAGTAGACAACCAACAAGCAGAGGCTACATGCCTGTCTTTACTCTTAAACCACAGATACAGTACATTCCATTAAAATGTCAGTGACTTCTATCAAACTACAAGGTGTCATAACCCAGAAGATAGTACTCTTACAGTTACCACCATGAGCACCTCAGATCTCTTCCAAGAAGAAAAAATGTGGAATGAAAAATAGTAAGTAAAATGTAGTGACACATAATTATTTCTGCTGGTAATTAATGACCTCACGGTCAGTATATCCTCAAGTATTTCGAGGTTCCCCAACCAATATGTTGGCAATGCCGTGACTATGTGATTATTCAATGTTAATAACATGAGAGAGAGAGAACACTAAGCAGGATACCAACTTCTTATTTAGTCATAAGATGCTGCTATTACCATCTTCTTACAAAATCTAACTTCAAAAATAATGAGCAACTGATCATGAGGAGAACCCATACAGCAGATTTAACTGAATAAGACAAGCATACAGTTTTATGCTGAAATGAGCTATACTACCAAAATCTTGCAGATTTTATCTATCTACTACTAATGACACATACTAATCAATATTCCAATCTGTAATATGTGACACTATTGCTCAGCATACGGCTAAATATGTAACCTACGAGTATAACAAAATCTTGTTCAAACATTTATTATAAAGCCTTTTTTACTGCATGGATAACTTAGTACCAGTTAATGGAAATTAATATCAGAGTAAAACATTCACTATGTATACAGTTTCTAAACAGCTTTTTCAGTTCCTTGCATTTTATACCTGCAGTCTGCCATCCAGAGTCCGTTGTATTGTCACACACTTGCTTGGATGAGCTCCATTGGTTGTAATAGCCGTTATTAAGCTATCCAATTCATCACGCTTTTCCTGAATGCATACAAAATAAATCATACAGCTAATCAGTTTCCACAAATGTTAATCTGAAAAATATCATACCATTTACAAAACTATAATGTACCTTTAACTTCTTCACCAAACTTTCTATAGCTCGCTTGGCAAATCCCTCTGACTCACCACCTTGACGATGACACATGAGGCTGTGTACAATACTGAGACAAGCATCTGCAGATGTCGGAGCATTTGATGTTATGGTACTCATCTCTTGTACTGAAAAGGCAATATCAGTAACTTATAATAAATTTGGAGTCAAATCTCAAAAAGTCTGGACTAGAAATAAAATATTGTGACCTCAATTACGTACCCTTAGTTCTTCCTAGGCCTACTTCAAACTGGTGAGTGTAGCAGAAAATATTCCACTATTCTTGAATATTAGAGTTTTAACAAGTTACCACATTCATCTTAATATAAGAAAATTTAAAATTATTGTCACTATAGATAAATCTGTAGTTACATATTTTCACATTTTCATAACACGGAAATCTTCAAAATAACTCGTTTCTCATGAAATGATTGGTCACAGAAAAGCCAAACCTTCTGCTGTTGCTGCAGGGCTGTAGAGGTGTCCACCGCTAGCCAAGCCTACCATTCTTGAGGGCTATTTGCGAACGTTTGTAAATAATGCATATATGGTTCTACAGATGAGAACACATATAAAATGTTTTATGTTCCTTCTAGATTTCGACACTGAAGCTATTTATTCATTACAAGTAACATAAAAATACTAAATACAGACTGCAAACCACTACCACTTCTTCCACTAGAAACAAAGCTCCGCAAATGTCGCACTTCCCCAAAACTGGCAACTTAGATTTTCCATTATGTCCATGAAAACATAAACTGAAGAGTTTACTGCGTATTACTTCAGGTTCAATGTTTCCTTTTTCACCAATACGATGAGAAGAATTATTCAAATATTAATTTCTGACTACAATGATTTCTTACACCGCGTAGTACTATAAAATATTCACATGTGCCCCTCCGTCTATTAGTCTATTTCAAACAGTTGGCTACTCTGTACTTCATATGCGCGCAAAACAAGAGCGCGTTTGCTTGGGAACAGTATGCCGAACTGATGCTCGAGAGTAAGCGCGTTTCGATCCGTGGTGCGTTGCAAGAAACAGATGATTGGAAGTAACTAAAGACTGCGATATAATTGCCCCCCCCCACTACATTTCGAATTAAACTGCTAATTAGAACGGATTAACTAATTAGTATGTGTTCTGCACAGGACTATGAGGAGAGGGAAATTGGAAGTGCACATACCTTGGTGCCAAAGACAAAAATTAGGATTCCTAATCATGACAGACCACTAATGTTTCATAAACTGTTCATGTTGGGACACATTCATGGAAGAAAATGGGTATTGCTTTGTGTGCGGTTGACAAAGTTGGTATATGTGCAAGTATTTTTGAATAACCTCATGTGCCACCATTATATTTTCTTGTGTCAAAATTTAAATTGTAATGTACATATTCCACATTCTACAGTCATTCTGATTAACTTTGGATCCAAGGAAAGCGGTGCATTATAATTTAATGTAAAGAGCCCCACTGTTCAAAGTTTATTCACCAAAATGTGAACTGTTTGTCTGCTGGGCACTCATTCAACATAAAATTTATGTCAAAATGTTCACAAACACTTTTAGCAGATCTGTATTTCATGTAGGTGTCATACAAAAAAACATGCTCCAAAGCATACCACACTGCTCACTAACTGTAACTGAGAACAAATGGCTAATGGAGCTGATAACTGCTGCCTACTGCTGACAAATTAGATACAAACTTCCATATATAAACTGAGCTGCTCACCATGAAACACAATGTCATCAAGCAGTCCACATGTGTCTTGCAGCAAGCAGCACATTGGTCACCATGAAGCATAGAGCTATGAACTGGTCAAAAAAAATTTCTGTAGTTGTAAAGCTCCATGGGATGGATATGTCTCTTCTCCTTTCTACCAATCTCATCTTTTCTGAATCCTATTTGTAGGCAGTATTCCTTGAAGTTGGCATGTTTCTTCCCAATCACTTTCCTGAAATCTGTTTCTAAGCATGATTTCATGAGTTATGTATGTTGTTCTGCAGAGTGTACAGAACAATGGATTTTCACTGCATTTTGAGAAAATGAAACTTACCAAATATAGCAAACAGCATTTTGGGATGCCACAAAGAGGTGAATATAAGTTCCTGAGATCAGTCATTTTGAAGATTGAATGTCCACAGAAAGTAACGAGTGAGTGCCCTGGATGCCCATTAACTGGTATAAATGACGAAGAGGCAGCTGAAGTATATGATCTGGCACAAAATGATAAAATATTTTTGAAGAGGTAAACATTTCTTTTGGGTCACATCAGGCCAGTTTAATCACAGATTTTGGAATAAACTACAGTTAACACAAAAGCAGAAAAAATATGTGTTCTGATCTTGTGACCTATTTAAATGTGCAAAAACCCACAACACCTTCTTAACAAATTAAATACACATTATGAAACACAGATTCATGTTTATGACCTGAAAATCTGAAAACCCTGTCCTCACCATGACAAAAATATGTATGCGAAGTACAAGTAGAACCACAGGGATGCTCATAGTTTTCTTTTCATTATGAGAGTACTATACACTGCACTCCAAGGAGCCAGGCTATTATCATCCAACATTTCCTCTTTACAAGTGTAGAGGTATCTTTAAACTGATTATGTGTCATTGGCAACTGTAAACATGGTAATCCATTGAGTGGCAAATTCACCATGAGAGTGTACCGACCCTCTCAGCCAAGTTTGTACAAATTTTCAGATAAACACAGTTCCATATGCTAGACACCCTCACCAACCTCGTGGCCAGGTACAGTTGCCTTTCTGTTGGTGCAGAAGCATGTGCAAAGTTATTGCCATAGTGCACATGAATAAGGTACATCCTGAACTATAGAATGATTTGATGACACCCTCCAGTGTGATTCAAAAGTATATAATCGTATATGATGCCTTTACATGTCTCGGTCAAGTATTTTCAGAAGGCAAATAACATTTGAGGAAACTACTACTACATAAATCATAGTACAACAATGGGGATGTGCTAGCAAAACCAATATTTCCATAATCCAAAGATGTCAGTCAAAGATACTATGTATGATTACTAACGCCCCATGGTATGTTACCAATATAACGCTCCATGAAGACCTGAAAGTGCCTCTGGATAAGCCCTCTCCACGTCACGAAGAATACTACAGCTAATTAGCTTATAGAATCAAATGTAATTCTGATTGCTAATTTTATGTAAATAAAAAAAAATAGTACAACAAGTTCAAAAGTTGCCAAAAGTTATATATATATATATATATATATATATATATAAAGATTTTAAATTAAGCTAAAATGTGATGAGTTAAAACATTAATAAAATTCTTAATATTTAAAATCTTAAACTGCTAAGGTTCATATCTTTGTGCCCCTTCTATCAACGGTAGATTGGGTAGGTTGCTGCCCTTGGAGGTCCAGGCAGTGTTCTTTTTATTTATATAGCTGGTTAAGAGCCCGTGTTTGATGTTGAGTGGCTTCTCCTTTCATTGTTTGTTGAGAAGCAGCTCAACAATTTTATTAATATTTTAATTCACCACATTTTAGCTTAATTTAAAATGTGGACACCATTGGAAAAGTAGGGGCGTACAAATTATACAAGTAAATATGGTATTGATTGTAATACATATTTTAATGTCCTGTGAAGTACAGAGATATATTTCATATCCTGTGTTCTTAAAACACTGTTCTCTAGTGCTAATATTTTATCAACAGTAGCAGGTATAAGTAAATAATTCTGAAGGACATAAATAGTTTGATCAATGGGTGCATTAAGAATAGTACCTATGTTATCTGATGTGGTGGAGTGGGGCAATGCTAACAGTACATACTAGATCAGGATATCCAGGAAATATGATAACGAAAGTTACGTCCTCTTCTGCCATTCAATCTTCAATTTGAGATTTCCTGGTTACCATGAAGTGAAAAGAACTCAAACCTGAAATAACAATTCAGACCTGTACTTTAAATGCATACTGTCAGCTCAAGCCCATTAAAAGTGTTCAAGATTTCCACTACAGTGCCGCTAGAAATTAACCAACACTGCACCACTCACACAGGACAATTCTCATCACTGTACTTCCAAAAGGTTCAGTCTTTCATACCACATTAACACTCTTTTGTTTCAGAGTTCTTTCATGGTTCTCCTTTCAAATTAATATACTAATTTAAATCACCCTGTTTACCTGTCCTCATAATAAGAGAAGACATTTGGCAAGAAATAGTACACATGTTTTTCCTTCTAATTAATACTCAAAAATAAAATGAAATGTCAAGAATCCATATCAAAATATCAATGTCATGGAATAATTAAAACATCACAAATTACTTTGACAAAAAAAGTCATCTAAGAATGTTGCATGCATGTTCTACATGGTGACATATGTGGGGTCAGTTTCAACACCACAGTTGTTATCCTTTGGTGACATAAGGACATAGCCATCATTCCCCCAGTAGTTTGACCATGAATTCTTCACCAACCAATAGGGAGAGCCATTAATGGTTCCATACCCAACCAGCAGCACTGCATGATCCAACTGTTCTGGCTTATTGCCTGCAAACACATACATGACAATGTATCACCATGGACTGGTTAACTTAAAAATGAGCTCAGAAAATACCAAAGCAATAACATACAACAATCACTCCAAAACTAATGCTTCCCAATTGTTTTCCTGCTTACATGATTTTGCATACAACTGTAACTGGTATTGCGCCTTCAACACAAAAATATTACAGTTTTTTATAAGTGTATATATTCTACATATTTTATATTGTCATGTGTATGACAATAGACAAGGTTCGGATTGGTGAATGGATTTATTACCATTTATGCACACACGATTCGGAACTACAAGCAATTACTTCGCCACTGCTAATCTCCACAGCACCCGTTATGCCTTTTCCATCCCGCTGTCTTCACCAGCCATGAATGAATGAATGAATGTATAAGGGGTGGGCCTTCTTGGCCATTGTACCGCGACCTACAGGGATCTACTGTGTTTCCCCTTTTTATTATCCCCTCAGCAATCCTGCTCTTCGAATGAAGCATAGGATTTTGTACGTGGGGGCATCAAAATAGTCACTTGGTATGATAAAGTACTGATCAAAGTGATGTAATCTTAAATAAGCTAAGGCCTCACATTCACACAGGATATGTGTGGCTGTTTCATTTTCTTCTTGACACCTCTCACAAGTGGGACTATTACTTAGTCCCAGTTTGAAGAGGTGTCCTTTAAGGTGACAGTGTCCTGTAAGCAGTCCTACCACCCATCGTAGCTGGTTCCTGTTTAACTTCAACACTTCCTTCGCTCTTTTAGCAGAGGGTCCTCGTAAGAGTCCCTTTGCTTGCTTGAGTCCAGTCAAGGATACCCAGTATTTCTTGGCTTCATATTTGTCCAGTCCCTGATTGCCTTTCTGGCAACTCCTGTAGAGATGCCACAGGCTCTTCACCAGCCATTCTTTGGCAACAGCTTCTAACAGTGAAGATTCTTCCACTTCACACGCTCAGGTCCTATCTTCACAGCCTTCCGTGAACTATTTTGACACAGGCATACAAAAATTGATTCCCCAATATGGCAAGTGACTCAATCACAGCAGTGACTACATTGAGAATCAGCTTAAATATGTACTTATTTTCTGTATACAACATCTTTTTCTTTTCATTGCTTGTTTTGTTAACAGCTCACTGGAGATTACTTTCCAAATAGCCCTCATATAACAATACATAATGAATGCACACAATGCATTGAAAAAAAAGAAAAAAAAAAGAGATTTTTTGTGAGAACTGTAACAACATTAATACTTACCACACTCTGGATCATAGTATATGCCATTTGAATAGAATGTAAATGTTTTACGAGAAGCATCAATAGCTATAGAAATAGGACCATGTTTGGCCACTGCCACCTTCAGAGCATCAGGATCTCCTGAAGTCACATTTACATAGCCTGTAATTCTTGCTGTTAGTGTCATATTATCTATGTGACAATAACCATCCTGCAACACATGAGCATAACACTTCTCCTTTAAGTTCTGTCTGCCTATTCATCATACGTTTTTCAAGCAGTTTCTTACAAAACCAAGATATGAAACTTAGTGGGCATACAAAGTGTGTTTAATTGGTGCCAAGGAAAATAAAACATCCTGAAGAAACTCTTTCAGACACAATTCTGCATTTTATATCTCCTAGACATAAGATGGAATCAAATGAAAACTATCAATTGTTGCAAACTACTGAGTAACAACCACAATAATAACAACAACATAAAATTCTTTATTTTGCTTGTGGTTCTGTACGGGTGTGAAACTTGGTCTCTAACATTAAGGGAGGAATATAGGCTGAGGGTGTTTGAAAACAGGGTGTTGAGGAGATTATTTGGACCAAAGAGAGATGAAGTGACAGGAGGTTGGACAAAACTGCATAATGAGGAGCTTCATAACTTGTACTCTTCTCCAAGTATAATTAGAATGATCAAGTCAAGGAGGATGAAGTGGGCAGGGCATGTAGCACGAATGGGAGATACAAGGACTGCACAGAGGATATCAGTGGGAAAGACAGAAGGGAAGACCAAGGCGTCGGTGGGTGGACAATATTAAAATGGATCTTAAAGAGATAGGATGGGATGGCATGGATTGGATTGATCTGGCTCATGATAGGGACCAGTGGAGGGCTCTTGTGAACACGGTAATGAACCTTTGGGTTCCCTAAAATGCTGGGAAATTCTTGAGTAGCTGCAGAATTGGCAGCTACTCCAGAAAGGCTCAGCTCCATGAGTGAGTGAGGGTACAATAGTGATGGAATCTTGACAATTATATATCACAATATAATAATACAAAATATAAAATACAATAAAAGTTAAAGATCTTTTAAAAATAATAAGTTATACAATTAAAATATAATTAAAAACTATGCATGTAATGTGTCTTATTTTGTATGTTGTTGCAATCGTATTATGTTATATTTTTGTTTTTGCGGACATATGGCGATAGTTTTCTTGCCATATGCACAACCACTTGGAGGCCCGTTGGTATGTGTGCAGTATTATTTGATTTTTATATTATTTAATGGGTACTTCATTTTGCGTTTATCATGTACACACTGCTACTGACAGAATCGTTCAATAATGTCCATTACTTGAGATGGTATACCACGAATTTGCTACTACAATGCTACTTAGAGATGGGAAGTACAACATGAAGTGCTATTGCTCTGAGCATAAGTAACTACTGGTCTACTGGTTGGTAGAGGGGGAATAGCCCTACAGAGTGAATAATGACTGAAACATGTCACATGTTTCTGTGAAAAAACAATTAAAATATTTTTAATGTTTTGTATCCTGTGGTGCATATACACATTGCACCAGCTGTTATACATATGTGGACACAAATCCAAAAATGAGAGAAAAGCACTCATTGCAGTGAGAATTCTGAAAAAGTACTTTCACTGAAACCAAGGAATGTTGATGTACTTAACATTATTAAACTGACAGTGCGTAAAAATGCCTATAAGATGAATGTCTTGTTCCAAGCCATACTCATTACATCAGACTTCTGCTGCATATGAAAGAAACATCTTCTATCTCAGTTCAGCAAGCTGAGCTTCATTATTTCCCAGCAATACAATATGACACTAGAATACAGTCGTTAGAGCTTGTGCAGGTTTAACCTCACGGGGAAACACCGGCCATGATGTTTTAGCACTTGTGCAGGTCAGCCTCCCAGTCAAGCACAAACACTGATTTTTCTGATACTGCCACTGTATGACATAAGGGACGAAATCCACTCTTACCGACAAATATAATTTCTTGGCCTTCAATACTCAGTACATATTTTAGAAATGAAAGGAAACTACACAGCTAAATTCTTTATGAATACATTTACCAGTAAAGAATTACAAACACTACCAAACATTACCATTTAAGTAAGATTTGAGGTTTTCACAGTGGTGACTATGAAGAAAGCAGTCTTCTGGGATGTGGCACCGTGTAGATGTGGTGTTAACCGACGTTTCGGAGGAATGTATCGCCTCCATCTTCAGGGTAGAAGGAAAAATAAGAAATCCGCAAGTGAAGAGACCGTGAGAACTGGTACAAGTAGACAGGTGTTGTACAGGTTCTCACGGTCTCTTCGTTTGCGGATTTCTTATTTTTCCTTCTACCCTGAAGATGGAGGCGATACATTCCTCCGAAACGTCGGTTAACACCACATCTACATGGTGCCACATCCAGAAGACTGCTTTCTTCATTACCATTTAAGATTCTCATCTAGCACTCTGTGTAATTTCATTGGCAAAATACTTTCATTCATCTTTAAATCACTCAGAAAACTGGCAATATGTGGAAGAAATTCAGTCCAAGAAGAGAATGCAAGTATTGCTGCCAGTAAATCTGTTAAGAACTTTCACACGGTTCTCAGATCCAGATGCTATCAATGTGAAAGCTGTCTTATTTGAATTCCAAACATAACTGACCAACTTGCAGTATAATTCCGACTGTGCTTAACTAAGCACTACACCATGAAGGCTTTTAGGGGAGTGGATGTATAGATCCACAGATAGTATAGTCGGTATAGTGACCAGCTACAGGTTAGATGACTGAAAGGTTGGAGTTCAAGTCCCAGTAGGGTAAAGAATTTTCTCTTCTCCATGTGCACCTGACCTCCTATCCAGTGGGTACTGGGGGTTCTTTCCCTGGGGGTAAAGCTGACCACTCAACTCCAGCTAATGCTGAGGTCAAGAAAATGTGGATAATTCCAACTAAGGAAAGAATTCCAAAATGTTTCACTTCTTGAAGGTTTTCAGATCTTGGTGATCATGCATTGTACATTACAGGCCTTCAAAAATATAAGTTACATGATCACTCCATTATACACACAACAGAGAAAACTTTTACCTGTAAAAGCTTATTCACTGATGTGACAAGTTTTATTGCACACCACCTTTCAAGCACTCCATTTTGATAACATACACTTTTGTCAGTTCCTGTACCACTTCAGGCTTTTTCCTGTGACCCCAGTTAAGTACTCCTGCCATAGCCTGTTTCATTTCTTCTGATAACTGGAACTGCATCTCTTCGAGAGGGCTTTCATTGAACAGGTACTGATAAGGAGGGGATACACCTAGAGAGAGGGAAGATTCTGGAAGTACAGTGGTTACTCATGAGTTGGCACAATCTCAATGTGAGATCTCACAATCTCAATTTGTGAGTTCATTCCTGAAAGGCCTAATATAAGACCATGTATAGACATTCGTCATCACGTGACAGTTATATGCTGTTAATGCCAACTCTGGGAACATCATCACTGGCTACTCCACAATAACAATGCACTAGCTCATGGCATCTTTTTGTATGAATGTCTGACTAAGAAGAATGTCACCTTTCCCAAGAATGAATGCCCTCTTGTAAGGATAAAGATTCCAGTCAGCAGAAGAAGTCAAAGAGGCAATGACAGTGGGACTTAAGTGGGCTGCAGGAAAAGGCCTGCATTATTTCGATCATTCACTATTAAATTAATGACCAATATCTGGACTAAGTCTGTCTATAATTAATCTAGACTTTCTTAACTTAAATGTCTGTTTTCATTTTCCACAATATGAAGAGCTGTTTAAATAAGAGTAATTACATACCTGGCCCAAGTAGCCACCATATTCATCCTCAAGTGGTATCCCACCATGTTTCATCATCCACTGATAAGAGCGGAAATCTTCACCACCATCACATCCATTGTTTCCATAACCCCAACTGCAGTCGATCAAAGCCTAGAAACAAGTATGTGATACCAATTTATTTGCTATTCAAGTAAGCTGACACAGTGCAAAAACACATGATGCATGGAAAATATTAACATCCTTTTACTCATTTTCCAATGTAAGCCTTTCCTATGGGTCATAAGAAATTGTACTGCAGACTGCATCAACATTTTACCTGATGAGTACTGAATACGCTTATCTCACTTTATGTGTTCTGTGGTAAGCATAACAAAAGCAGATAGACAGTGTACTACTGCCAGGACTGCAATGTTGCATTGTGTAATGTAAGTGTTCTGAGGCATACTTCATAAGCATTTCTGAGGTAATATCCAATGAATATTTAGAATCTAGGGACCATCAGAAACTAATATGTTAAATTTTTTATTAAACTGATAGAAAAGGACAAAATGCTACCCGCCTCCTACGAAGTTTTTGAGAAGGTAATATACTCAAACTGGAGAATGTGAAATGTTTTAAATATTTGGGTAGCTTGTTAACAGATGAAGGAAGGTGTACTAGTGAAATTAAATCCAGGATTGCCATGGCAAAAGCTGCATTTAGCAAGAAGAATCTTTTTACCAGCAAATTGGACTTAAATTTGAGAAAGAAACTACTGAAATGCTACATTTGGAGCATCGCTTTGTATGGGGCTGAAACTTGAACACTTAGGGCAGTAGATCAGAAACACCTGGAAAGCTTTGAAATGTGGTGTTGGAGAAGGATGGAGAGGATCAGTTGGACCGATAATGTGAGAAATGAAGAAGTGTTATTTAGAGTCAGTGAGCAGAGGAATATCCTACACAAAATAAGAAAACAGAAGGCTAACTGGATTGGTCATATCTTACACGGTAACTGCCTTCTAAAAGAAGTTATTGAAGGAAAGATAGAGGGGCGGATAGAAGTGACCAGAAGACGAGGAAGAAGACGTAAGAAGATGCTGGATGACCTTGGGGACAGAAGAGGATATTTTAATTTGAAGGAGAAAGCTCTAGATTGCATCAAGTGGAGGAACTGTTTTGGAAGAGACTGTGGACCTGTCATCTTGACAGATTACAGATGAATGAATGAATATACTCAAGGCTCTACCAACATTTAACCCTAAATAAGATACTTACAAGCGACCAATATGGTTTTAGGAATAACTCTTCAACTAATATGGCCGCCTTCAAACTATTGAATGAAATCTTATTAGCCATGAATAATAAATTAACTGTTGGTGGTATATTTTGTGACCTAGAGAAAGCATTCAACTGTGTCAACCATGATATACTTTAGAAAAATTGTAACACTACAGGACAGTAGGAACATTTAAAGCATTAATTACATTATACCTAAACAACAGATATCAGAAAGTGATATTAGATAACAGGAAAACTCATAATAGTACCTCCTCCGAGTGGGAGATCATTTAAGCATGGTGTTCCACAAGGCTCTGTCCTTGGTCCATTATTTTTCCTACTGTAGGTAAATGAGATTCATAACGTAATAACTAAGAATGCAAAAATCATCCTATATGCTGACGACACAGGCGTCATAATGTCTAATCCTAGCCTTCTGGAATTTTAAACTAATATGAATAAACAATTTGTAGCCATAAATGAATGGTTTAAAGCCAATTTGTTATCTTTAAATTTCAAGAAAACTCATTACCTTTTATTCAGGACAAAAAATAGTTTAGAAACCAATATCAGTATACACTGTGGAAACAAGCATATTACTAACACATCAAATATTAAGTTTCTTTGTTTACACATCGATGAAACATTATCATGGGAACTTCATATTGACCAATTAGTAACTAAAATGATTTCAGCTTGTTATGCTATTAGGATAGCAAAAGGTTTTATGTCACAAGAAACCCTTAAGATGATTTATTTCTCCTATGTGCCTTCTATTATGGAATACGGTATAATTTTCTGGGGTAATACGTCTAACAGTATCAATGTCTTTAGGATACAAAGGTGGATAATTAAGAGTTATTATGAATGCAAAAACTAGAGACTCTTGTAGGGATCTATTTATACTCGATAATACTGTTTGTCATAAAAAATAAAGATCTGCGTCCATGATGTGTATGTATTGACCGTCTTCTAGTGCACACAATCTCACTTGTCACTTCTCTACATGTTTCGGCATCACTGTGCCATCCTCAGGCGTGTTATTTACGTTAAACTATTGCACTGCTCGCCATCATGTATCGTTTATAAAATGATTTAAAACGTATATTCGTCATCTACTATAATAAAATTTATACAGGATGTCCCAGGAGGAATGGATCAAACTTCGGGAGGGTGTTCCTTATGTTAAAGTATGCTGATATAACCCAAAACACCTATGTCCAAAGTTGAACGGTTTCAGAGATAATGGCCCGAGAAAAGTGTGGTCTTCTGGCGGGTCCACGCACTATACCTGTCAGCTGAGACCTCTTTATCTGTTTGTCCTTGAGTGTCGTGATTCACACTAGCTGTAAGCTCATGCGCTACCTACATAGTACGTTGCGGCAGGGTCATGATTAGTTGTGTGATGAGTTGCTGAAATGCCTCTTCTGTTTTCACACGTGGAATATTGTGATATGCATTTTGTGTGTGGATTTTGCGGTGGCAATGCACGTGCTGCTGTTGAAGAATACCAAAGGCGTTTTCCCGATCGAAGAATTCCATATC